ACACTAAGGGATAAAGACCATTGATATATTGAATGTGTTTAGATTTTGTCGCTCGTTCATAAACGAGAAATAAGGTAAACGACGCAGGAACAAATGACATGGCAACAATGATGAAGACTGAGATGACAACATCAGATCCTTGCAGAATAAATTCAGTTGATAACATATTATTTGTTTCATTCATTGGATCTAAATTTCAACATACATGAAAACGATAAAAGCAGACAAAAGTAAACTTACGGTTTATCGTAGTAATTCCATATGCTGAAGGAAGACCTTTTTCAAGAGGTAAATTCGCTCGAAGGATACTGTTTGACATAATATTGATATATAATGGTAAACTATGATAGCCTTTGTGATTTGTGAATATTCTGGCCGTATTTTTTACAGCTAATTTATGTAAGTGTTGACTATCTTTATTGATGGGATAGTCATCTGGGATATAATCTTGAACTAGACCAAATGACAAACCACCATACCGGTCTAAATGGTGATTATCTATTGTATATAAATAATAGAGAATTTCGTTTTCTTCCTTTGTTATGTTTAAGATATGATCATTAGTTAGTAAATCGGATGACGGTGGCTTCATAAATGATGAACAAACAAATCGTGATTGGATCTTTGAGCACGTACAAGGTGAATAGTATGTATTGTTGAACACATTTTCTAGTTCATATGTTCGATTGATTGAGACATTATGATTATCAAACATTTCCATCCAATTAATATCCTGCGTTGAATCGACTTGATATTTATTGTTATAAACACTATTACAAGTCGTGCCAGTTAAATTCTCGAATGTTAATTTAGTTTCGTTCATGTATGGACTTTTCAGTAAGCAAGTTGAACCAAGGCCAGATGGATAACGAATTGTCTCGGCTAAATCATACGGGTTGGCATTCATTGAGTAAAGTTGAGAAATATTCTTGTATTTATAACTATTCAAACCAGATACGGGTGTATAGAGAGAATTCATACGAGAAAACATTGAAGTAGATAATGTGATTGGCGGAGGATCAGCAAAACCAGGCGCAGTTAGTGCGACTGTCATAGCAACAGTAATAAAAAATGCAGGTAACAAGATCTGTGTTGCTAAACCACGCATATTTCGGTAATTGAATATGAAACGTTTGATAATAATCGCTAACGCTTGTTTTGCATAGAGACGAGTTCCAGTAACCCGATCGTTATGTTGAATATGCAGCGTTGTTGATGATGTGTCAGTGATTGTTGATGTTGTTGTTAAATCAGGAGTTTCCACGGGCGTGTTTAATTGTGATTCAACAGCTGCTGCACTCGGTGTTTTCTTGAATTGTTCAGTTACTTTGAGAAAAACTTCTTCTAATGAAACATCTTGTAAGCCATAACCTTTGATGGATAAGGATTCTTTGTGTGAGTCGAGTGTCGAGAAGAATTCAGGAAATAAATGACGACTTTTCAATGGCAAAACATATTGAAGTTCACTAGGAAAAAGTTCAGCAGTATAAAATCGAAGAATAATAGAGAGAAAACATCTTACTTTCTTGTCTCTTCTTTCAAAAAAGCTTTGGGGATACATTGAATAATCATTGATGTTATTTCATCTTTCGACGATAGCCAAGGATCTAAAAAACGAAAAAGTCTCGAGAAATCGATTGATAAAATTCAAGATCTGTTACCATTTTTAACTAATGTTAACACATAACCTTCGCCAAAGGTTGTTTTGAGAAACAATGATGTTCCACAACATTTCAACTGTCCATCTAAAGAACAGAACCATTGATTAATATTGAACATTCTCCGTTAGAAAATCTTTACTTGAAATAATGGCAATTCGATCACCGAGAACATCAGCTTCATCCATATGATGACTACTTAACAAAACAGTTCGTCCTTGTTTCAATTTGATTAATAACTCCCAGATTGCACGACGTGCATATGGATCTACACCGGCTGTTGGCTCGTCAAGAATAATTGTTTTCGCATCACCAACAAACGCCCTTGTGAAAAAGAAAGAAGTTCACATTTAGGGAATTTGAAAGAAAAGATAATTACATTGCAACGGATAGTTTTCGTTTCATTCCACCGGATAATGTTGAAACCATTGCATTACGTTTCGCTGTTAGTCCAATATCAAATAACAAACTAAAAATGAACGATTGACTACAGATTGTCTTTTTCACAGATTTCTTTTGTTTACTTTTCAATCATTTTCTTCATCTCTCGACTTTGAACCTGTTTTAGTTTTGAGAAGAACAGCAAATGCTCTTCGACCGTTAATTTTTCAAATAGAACATTCTAAAACACATCAAAACAAAGTCCAAGTCGATCAATCCTTCGCTGTCTTACATGTTGAGGACACCAGCCGAGATTCTTTCGTATTTTATCCATATCAACATTGATATCTTGATCGTAAATAGTTGCCGTTCCTGATGTCGCTGGAATCAGACCCGTTAAAATTGACCTGAAAGTTAATCGATAAGTTAGGTTCTCATGCAGCGAACAAATTTTACATTGTTGTCGTTTTTCCTGCTCCATTATGTCCAAGAAAAGAAAGAATTTCACCTTCATATAAGTCTAAGGATAGATTTTGTACGGCAAATTTCTTTTTATCGAATATTTTTGTTAAATTTAGCAATCGAACACCAATTGATTGTTGACTTGCTTGTTCATCTTGTTCGAAATAACCTAAAAGAACATTTTCATTTGGAACATTTCCCCAATGAACATCCATCATACTTTCATTTCGATTTGAATCACTGTTTATTTGACTTATTGATGCTGATGACCAATTGAATTGATAAGACATGTGATGTTTCTTGCAAATATACCAGTTGAACAATCTCGTTTTCTTCAGTTTTTTTATCCAATTTGGCTGAACGTATGATTCCCCAGTCCAGTAACTAACAGTGAATGGAAAATACCATTTCTTCGGAATTCCATATGTGCCCGGATACACATTTTCAATGTACCACATGAGCAGAAGATGAAGAATGGTATCGAGTAACATGAAAAGAACGGTTTCGAAACAAGTAAATCGATCACCTTCGACTGGACTATAACGAATATTGTCGAATTGAATTCCTGTGCCAATATTTTCATAAAATGCAATGTATTTCGCCCCCATACCAAATGCACTCGTCGACAATAAAGACTGAAACATCGCACTATTTTCAATAATCAAATCCTTTTTTCGGTCACTTACTGCCAACATTTTTGCCCATCGTGGTATTGTATCTTGCGCCAAATCTTCTCGAATGGATATATACATACACGGTACGTACGTTAACAAATAGATAATTCCTGAACAAGCAGNCTTTAAAAAAAACCTCATCAAAGAATAAACAAAACAATCTCATGTGATTCGACAAACTTTCATTTGTACGACGAGTGCGACAAGTTTTGTAATCAATTCAAGTGTTTCTTGGTTAAGAACCACAGGAGGAACCTATTTTATAACAAAATATGAATTCATTTCATCAACGAATGACATCGTACGTTGAGTTTACTGATCAATTCTTTTGCTAAACGTTGTGAGCGATCACAAACAAATTTTGTGTCGTTAAATACAACGAGTAATTGTTCATCAGTGACGATCTACATGTAAATAGATGAGATCAACGAAAGAGAAGTGATCGAGTAGTACTTGTCGACAAATTGTATTGATTTCCTCAATAAATTTCGCTAAATATTCGTTTAGTTTCGCTAACCATTGAATTAAATGTGCATAATCACGTCGGAATGTATCACTTAGTGGAATATGTCGACTTATCTAGAGGATTTTTGTTAAAAATGAAATTTAAGGTGAAAATTCCAACTTCAAATTCAGCTTGATCGTTCATTTTTCGAAGATTCTCAATCGAATCACGTTTTGCACAAAGTATCCTTGACACTCGAATCTAAAATTGAGTATAAATCAAAATAATTTGGGAGAATGTCATACTTACGACAAGATACAACAATCGGTCAGGTATTTTAGTAATAACATCAGCTTTTGGTATAATTTCTTCATCGTCTGTCGTTTGTAAATCACCTTCGTCGTTATCACTAACCAAATAATTCTAGAAAAACGTCATTCCATCTGTTCTGACGAAAGAAAATGTGAGTTGTTAATGTTTAAATACTTTATCTTTGTGAGCAAATTGAATTAATTTCAATTTTTCAGCAAGGACAAGATGTTCAAGTGGCTGTTCAGACTTTAATAACAAAAAAAGTAATATTTTCTTTTCTCATTCAAGGTTTTCTGTTTACCATAACATCATAATCATTGACATTCAATAAACCAATATTTGAATCATCGAAGAGAATTTGATATTGTTGAGGATTTGCTTCATTTCGCGAAAGAAATTGTCCACGATACAAACCAAATTGACACGAACGAAATAATTGAACTAATTCAACGTTTAAATCAGTCAAATGAATTACGAAAAAAAAACACAAGAGACAAACTCACCAATGACATGTGCACCGGGTTGCAATGGCGGAATAATGAACGATGGAAGGTTATTCAAAAAGATTTTATCCGATTGATAATGCGTTTTTGTTTCATTTTGAACGATTCGTAATAAATTTCGTTGTTTAACCAATTTAATTCTTTCATTTTCAAGATACGCACTTGATAGTCTGTTGACAAAGGAAAAAAAACAGTCGATGTTGACTATGAAGATGTTTTTCTACCGTCGAGGTTTGCCAAATCGACGTCGAATTAAACTCCATTGTTGACGAGTAAGTCGGAGTGGTTTTTTATTGACTAGTTCAGGAAAAAAATGTTCCACACAATGTTCAAACTCATTTTCATTTGTTAACAAACACCTTGAATCGAAAAAAAAAGAAGAATAATGGAAAATAACATTGATAGTACGATGAAGACATCACGAGAAAAAAAAACGAGAAATATCTAATGAGTTACCAAGGAAAGGTTTTTTTTTTTGTCATTCATCCTTCGATGTCTATGGAAATGAACAGACTATAAGTACGGGAGAGAAAAGGTAAGGCGAAGAAAAAGTAAAAGGCAGTGTTTTGGTATTTTTTTTTCTACGTGATTTCAAACGAAGAAAGGTAAGCGTATTACCTTGAAAATAGTCTTTGCATCCCCGAACATCACAAGGTCAATTAAGATTGGAAAACATATTCGAATATGTACTTGACAGTTTCATTACTACTAACTGAAGACGATATTATTCGATTATTGGATATACTTGACTGATAAATATAACCTCATTGTCAAGGATAAGAGGCGGCGTATAAAACACAGAATAAATAAGAGAATTTTCGAAAGGATTTTGTATTTTACATAAATGATTAGGTTTTCTTTCATACGAACTTAACCTCTATGAAAAATATTTACTTTAGTTTATCTTAACAGAGTTATAGTTGTGCATCGGGTGCCGACTGCAGTGAAAATATTATGAATATGAAATGATATCGTGTGTCGTAAAACATACTGTAACTGTAATCGTCAGTCAATAAATATTTGTCATCATCACCACTTCTGTTTCTTTCTCGAACGATTGTAATATGGCACATAACTTGCATCATTTCACATAAATTTTTTTCTATTCTATCAGAAAACAATTAGAGATAACAATATTTACTAACTAAAATGTCTCTCTTTTCATTTGTTCGAAGAAAAAGAAGAGAAATAGAGAAGCAATGGTGCGATACTTGTAGGTCGAATAGTCATTGACTTTTTGTTTTAAATAACAAGACATAGAGAGTCAAAATCAAATAGAACTGATTCTCATCAATGTATGATATCAGTTGTCTATATCTGATCAAACTCTCATTAACACTCCGGTGAAAAGAACACGAAAGTAATCAACTGCTGCAATATGATACTTCGCTTCAGGAGAGATCACGAAAAGTTCAATTGACTTACCGATCGATATCTGAATAGAACCATTCACAAATCATCCATCGTTGGCTTTTTGCATTCGATAGAAAATGTTTCAAATGATCAACAGTCATTTTCTATGGAAAAATTGAAGAAAAACTAAGAAAAATATAGAATTAAAATCAAACCAAAGGTGATCTTGGAGGATTGTTCAATAACATATCGATTGTCGTTGTCATACTTAATCTGAGAACGCGTTAGAGAAGGACCAGAAAATCATCCGACGACAAAACTCATTCTGTAATTCTTTATTGGTTTATATCTGTAACCAATGAAAATCTTGATCAAGTCCTTCTTCTGCTTCTAGTCTTGATCTTATTCTTATTAATAATCCTGACATCTATCAATACATTATATAAACTGTGCAGTTGTTGATCAACTACCATATGTTCTTTGTTTCGTTTCTTCTTATAGATCTATTGAATCACTTCATCATTATCATTGTCATTATTGTATTGTTAGGATTAGTAGTCTTTCCCATATTGCTTAAATTGGATCGGAGTATAGATAGCTCTAGCAGCCTGGATGTTCGAATTCACTCATATCTTGTAGTTGTCTTTTCTCTTACATAATAGAAGTCAGTTATCATTCATTAAATACGAATTATGACCGGCGGAAACGTCGAATTAAATACTTTTGAACATTTAATCAATTTTTCAAAAGCATTATTTTAATCAAGTTTCCTTCAGAGAGTCTAGATCGCCTAGATTACATATGGTTTCAACACAAATAAACGATACAAATAGTAATTGCATTATATTTAATACTTCGATTTTCTTGAGCTTTGTCTTACTATTAGTATAATATAAAGGATAAATTCATGCCTTATCTGTTCATTATTTGAATAGAAAACTGTATCTTATCAAACTAGTCAAGCTCAGATATTTTTTCATTTCAGTTGTTTTCAATTTGTTGCTTATTCAAGCTGTATTGGTGTACATTCTTTAAGTTATCGATTCATGTAGACAGTAGAATGACAGAATATCTACATTTAATAGATGACTATTTTTTATATTAGCCATGTATGAAAATAGACATGCACATTACATAAAATAAAAAGTCGGTGCATTCGCATTTCGTTCTTATTCATTTGCGTAAAACCAACATTAAATGTGTGCTGGTCTATTTCACAAAAGAGATGCCGAAAGATAAAGACATATTAATATTTTCGCAATGAATATATGCAGAATATTAAACGTTTAATTCATTTTTGCATGTAACAGGTTTCACAAAACATGATTTTTATTGGTTTTAATAAAATTATTATGTAATTCGCTCGTAGATGACTATGATTATAATCGTTATATATGATTACAGGTGTGATTCCTTTTCCTTGAGAGAGAAACTAATTAGAAATTTTCCATTTCATCGACAGACTTAATTTTTAATTTGATGAAATCAATAACTTTCCAGTTTCAAAAGATTTTTTAATTTTACCAAGATTAACAAGATTTACCCACGTGAGCGAATGCGCGTTTAAGGAAATCTTCCTTTTCTACGTTACATTCCACATCTCTCTTTGTTTAAATTTGTTACTAGAAGCCTGTTTAAGGAATAATTCTGACTATTAGTGGAAAGTAATTGTCTAGATGTTTCATTGGTTATAAAATGCGTCTGAAAATTTTTTTCATATCATTATAAATTATTTTATTTTCCTTTTCAAGCTCTTCCATTTAGATCTGAAACTCGTTCATTCGAGGATTTATCGATAATACAAGAATATACCATAATCACATATTTATATTGTTTTAGATCTATTTCATATAACAAACATCTCCTGTTTTTCTATTCGAATCCATCTGGAATTAAATGAATCTCAAGATTAAAGTTATTACTGATTTCGAGAAATTTGATTTTAATTGCTCATTTATTGCGGCATCGATGATCCTTTTATTTTTGTTGGCCAATTCATGAACTTCATTTTCGTCTACGGGATAACTGTCAATATCCACTTCTTACTGCATCCAACCCAAATATAACACATTGCAATTATAGGCAGGTGTGTCAAATTTCTTTCGATGAATGTTGTTGCTCTACTTTACCGAAAAATTCGATTAGTACATCAAATAAATGCATTACCGATGCCAAAGTAATAGCTGCTCATATCTCGCCGCTAGTTTTCTATGTTTTACAGATCTACATCATATTTGAAGTGTGTTCTATTGTTGGAAAATATAGTCATGTTCTACGGTGTTTATTACATTTACTTGTTTTCATTCTCTTCGTTCTGGTTGCTATTGGTGCGTACGATGGTGGTTGTCTTCATCCACACACTCATACAATTACCATAGTGACAGGCTTCCTTGTATCTGGTTTTGCTTTTGGGCTATATGTCTATTTTAGAGATTTTTATTCTCATCGTGAACTTAATGATATTGACCATGATCAGATATCGACTACTTCTGATGATGATCATAAGACTTTGAAAACTGTTGTTATAATTTAATTATAAAATCTTTACTTGTTGTTTTGTATATTGTTTTTTTTTATCTTGTATAATCTTCGTTACGTCTATATGTGCATTCTGATTGTAGAATATTTTCTTGATTTTGTTTGTGTTTTGATAAAAAAATCATCTTGTTCTAAAATGTCAGTTATTTAGACATTCTGTCAAAAAACTGCTTAACAGTAAAACAAATATTAGAATGAGGATGAGCTTCAGTGTGAAGTCTGCATATTTCCTTCAAAACTATATTTCCACTGTGTTCATCTCGCAGCTAAATCCTCGTTCTCATCAAAGTAATAAAATCAACCAATATATTGGTTAACATCTTGATAAACAATGAGTTGTTAATCTTTCATGTGTTAACTATTATTCAAATTGAAATTAATTATGAATTCAATGGAAATAATGATATTAATACATGTCTCCGAAAGTTTCTCATGATGTTGATCAATATTTACCATTATATTTGATCGTGTTGTTCGCTTTTTATATGTTTCAGTTGACCGATGAAATTCATCAACATAACTATTAACAACTAGGTGCTAGTGTGTGTATACTTTAATAAATATGAAGTGATTAACGTTTATGAATGTCTTTCTCCATCAATACAGCTGTTAAAATTACTTATTGAAAGAGAATGTGTTGACTAAATATCGATTTTACAAGAACAAGTAGCTTGCACAAACTTTATTTTCATTTAACATAAGAAAAGTACAGAAAAATATATGAATGATAACAAAAATAGAGAATTATTTTATTTGTCTATCTAATAACAGTCATTGGGATATTCAAAGAACTTGTGTGATAAATTTATCTTCATATTTAAATCCATGTGAACGAAATAATGGTGATTCATAGAATTGTTTCAAATCTAACACACTATATTGACGAGCCTATAGGACAAAAAGCGATTAGACACCATCAACGATAAAACAAAGCAACGTACTCGGCTCTTGAGATCTTCTTCTGAAATTTTAATTGCGGCTGCAGCTGATGCGACACGATCAGCACCATAACGATTTCGTTGAAATGCTAAACTCTCTTGAAATAATTGTTTCAACAAGAATAACAAAAATTCATTGTTATCCTTCTTATACGTTAAATAACGTTGAAACACCTAGAAATTACGCGAGGAAAAAAACCACGAGTTAATCTCTCTGTATCGAAAATGGATCTTACTTTCTTCATTGTACGCATAATACCGTATTTCTGAGCATCAATAAAGCTTTGAAGAACAATTTGAATAGCAACATTGATGTCGTCATCGTTGACAAAGTCACGTAGATGCATTCGAGCATGTGCTTCAGCAATACGAACCATCGATTCAATTTGTCGAACAGTGACTGGTACACTACCAGTGACCAACGATTCTCGACGCAATTTCGCATACAATTGAGCAATCTTTTCTTGATCGACGGATGTCATACGTGGATGAATACGTCTCTTAGCATAGATCAAATATTTCTTGAAGATTTCTTGTGGAATTGGATCAACATTAAAGATGTTTGGAACAACCTGAACACGAAATTAATAAAAACAAATATCGAAAGAATAGAAAGAATATCTTACATGATTTTGTTGTGCATCGCTGTCGCTAGCTGATGGATGATGACGCATATGACTTTCAGTGACGAAACGAGCCATCAATTCATCCTAAAAACGAAATTTAGCTCATGTTGTTACAACGAAAGTGTGTCTCACTTGAACAGGATCAGCAATATCACGAACAGTACAGAGAATATCGAAACGTGTTAGAATAGGTTCAGATAAATCAACATTATCCATAAATGTAAGTGCAGGATCGTAACGTCCACCAACAGGATTGGCTGCAGCAATAACTGCACAACGTGCTTGAAGTGTTGTTACGATACCAGCTTTTGAAATTGATATGCTCTGTTGTTCCATGGCTTCATGGATAGACGTACGATCTTGATCAGACATCTAAAATGTTGTCTTTTATTATCACATGTTCTATTTCGTAGTAAATCATTTTACTTTATCGAACTCATCAATTAAACAAACACCACGGTCAGCCTAAAAAATAAGCGACTTAATTCTTCAGTCAACTAGTTTTTCTTGAACTTACAAGTACGAGTGCACCAGCTTCAAGTGTCCATTCTCTAGTCACAGCATTTCTTTGCACATATGCAGTTAAACCAACAGCTGATGCACCACGGCCAGTTGTAAATACAGCTCGGTGTGCTGTCTTTTCAATGTATTTCAAAAATTGTGATTTGGCTGTTGACGGATCACCACAAAGCAACACATTAATATCACCACGAACTTGATGTTTTCCGCCTTAAATACAAAGAGAAAACGGAATGTTTTGGTTCGTTCGTTCTAGGTATATTCAGCACAAAATGTCTGTGTTCGAATCCGCGTTAACACGGTAACGATTACACATGTCGTTATATTCGTGAAACCAATAGCGGAGAGAGGAAAATTGAACTATTCTATAACACTATTATTGAATCTTTATCGATTTTAGTACCTGTCGAATAGTACATCTCAAATCACTTTTTCATCCTTCTGTCGAATAGCTTACCGGGATTTTTCGATTCACCGCCAAACATCGCAAACGCAATGGACTTTTTCACCATTTCATGACCGTAGATCGATGGAGCAATACTTGCATAGATCTAAATTTCCGCAAAACCCAGATAGAAAGGATAAGACAGAGATTAATATCTTTTACTCGTTGAGCAATTTTTGGATCTTTAGCAAGACGTTGAATTTCTTGTATATCTTCATCCGTCAATGTTTCAAATGAGATTTTATCTTCGCGTGTCGATATATAATTCGCTTCAATAATTGTTGCAAAAACTGGAAGATTGTTTTGAATGTTCAATGAAATATTATATGTATTTCGGTAGACACCAAGAACTTCCTGCAGAGTATATTCATTTTAATGAAAATATTGAACAATGAATAAATACATACGATTTCATCACCTGGCCGACATGTGTCGCAAAGATCACCAAGCAAAAGGATTTCTTTGGAACGTGGAATACGACCTGGTGGAACAGTTCCTGGACTTTCTTGAATAGAAATTCGTTGAAAGTTTCGATAAAGTGTCTTTAAATAGTTAATCAATAGAAAATCTTCTCATAGAAATCGAAATCATACTTCTTCCATATTCAATTCAAAAGGCCCGTTCGATTGACATTCAGGACATGAACCTGGTTTGATTTCATTCTCCTGATTTTGTGTAAATGGACCAAGTGTAAAACCGCATTTTTGACAATTAAATTTGATGATACTCAATTGTGGTAAAACGCCTGTCGATGTTGTTACGACTCCACTGATACCGATCAATTTATTCAAATGTTCGACTCTGTAAAGATATCATGAAGATAAAGATGAATTAGAGAACATCTGTCTAACCTTAAATCTCGGATATTGTCATTTTGAAGACAATTGCTAACACGTACGAATAGTTCCTTTTCAATTGCACGATGATTCGGATAGAGTTCGAAACATAATTCAGTTAATGCTTCGTGAAAGATTTTCAATGTTTGTTCGGGTGCACCAAGTAAGAAAAAGGCCAAGACTTCATCCGTTGCCATTAGATGTTCGAAATCGATAATAATCGATTGTTTTTGTTCCTGAACAAGACGACGTAGTGCTTCTCGATAAAGCGGCTTGTTTGTTCCACCAACGGTTGCTGTTGTGATTTTAAATGTACGTAAAAACTTTTTCAAATGTCGAATTACTTCATTGTGCGGACCCGGCATTTGCACCCAATCAGATATTTTATGACCTTGTGTATCACCGAGATTTTTAATGTAAGCATCCGATTCATCATCCATGCCAACATCATCATCATTGGCTCGTGTACGTTTGCCTTTGCTACTCAGACCAATGAGTTCCTCATCATCGTCCAAATCGCTTTCGTCATTTAATTCTTGACCAAGTCGACGACGTTTCTCACGTTCACGTCGTTTAATATCTCGTTCAGCTCGTCGTCGTTGTTCCACCGTAAGTTCAGTATCATTTTCGTCGTCATCATCGATTCCACCCGCTTCGTATCGATCTAATTCATCGATTGCTTCGTAATCTCTACAAAACATACAGTGATTGTTCAAAAAATGGAATTTCAATGTCAAGTTTTACCGTTCAAAGTCATCCCCAAAGAGATCTTCACCAGATTCATCACTAGCAATACCTGATTGATCATCACCTAAGATTTCGTTTTCTTCTTCACTTAATTGTTGTTCATCTAAATAGATCAATAAAACGCGCTTTGAATATCAATTATTTTATTTTTAATCAAATGTCGATTTACGATCGTTGGAAACTTTCAACTATACCGATACAAAACGCTCAGAATAATATCGCTTATAATTTTCTTTCCACATTTGATCTTGATATTCATCATGTACCAAGTAAAAAAGTTCATATTCTTGATTATCCTGGTGGTGAAAAAGGTTTCAACCAACTAAAAGATTCTTTCAATCTTCTCGCTCAATCAGAAGATATTAATGATGTTGAAATGACATCAAAAATTGAAGATGAACCTGCAGCAACATTGGTCTTCCTATTTTTATCTGATCCGAAAGAATTATCTGCTAAAGTCAGTCATCTAACAACTTACACATCATCAGAACATCCAACGATATGGGTTCTAGTCAAAGATAAACATCATCCAAGAACAAAGGAAAAGATTCCCTCGATATGGGAACCGTTAACCAATGCGCAATACTACGAAGTTCGACCAACAATTAAAATATCTAATGAAAAATGGATTGGCACAAGATTTACTATTGGACGACAAGGAATTCATGATATGATGCAAGATAAAGACATTCATATGGCTCTAACGTTATCGTCTCAAGCTCAACAAAGACGCAGTAGTGTATTTTGAGCATATTTCGTAGTAACGCGCACTGAACAGTGTGATTTATGAACTAAAGACTGAAAGGTTGAAGTCTGTTAAACATACCTTCTGGTGGAAGACTATCATCGTGCGGGGCAGACATGATTTCGATATTTCTTTTCGAAGATAAATTGTCACTGAGAATAATTCTTCGTTCGATTGCGCTATTCTTTGTTCATATAGTTCTTTGTTGTTTCCGCTCTTTATCTATTTATTCGCCAATGAAATTCGTCAGCGCAACTATCAATGACCAGATGAAACGAATAGATGAAATTAATTGAAAGGTTCTTTACAGAGTCTCATTGGTTAGAAATTTAATCCAACAAAATATTTAAAAGCAAAGTGAAAATAATTTTATTCCAAATTAAAACCAACCTTAATATGGGTTATTCTCTATGGCTTGTTCCACCAACAAATTCCAAAATCATCTCATCTCTGATTTCAACAATAAAATCGTTCAATTGTTCATTTGCTCCACATGTTACTATTGTCTCAAAAATTCCACTTTCAACATCCATTGATGAAATAAAAGCATCTCTTACAGCGTATTTCAACGAACACTCGTTACCTGAAGTGCATATCAAAAGTTTACATACAGGATCAGAATTCTTCAAACGAATATTTCTACGATGTCAAAGAACTGATTCCCTTGTTTCACTTGCTCGATTCTCAAAACAGACATTTGCTAACAACAATGAAAACATTGATCAATGGGTAGAAGATTATGATCCTCATATTTCATTGATATACGCTGAAGAAAAAGATTGCGATGATCAAGAATTAATCAGTCAAATTGATCGTTTAGCATTGATTGAGAAAACATGGCAAGGTGGAAAAATCCAATTGGTTGATACAAGTGCAAAATTATCCGAATGGAAGACTGTATTAGATTTTGATATTCCAAATAGTACGTCATCTTAAAATAAATTTCAGTAATATTTTCTTCAGTTTCATATGATCACTTTCTCCTACACATTTCTCAACAATCTACGACTTCACATATCTAGTCAAATTTAATTATTAAATATTCCTATAAACAAACGGTAGTGAAAGTCAGCTTTATTAAAACGAATATGTGCAAATATTATTTCTAATAATGCACGTAATATAAATAAATGCGCATGAGTATGATTTATTTAGCTTTGTTATTCTTGCAAAAATCGAAAGCTGGACTACAAATAAGAAAAAATAAAAATATGTTAAAGAATAATTAGACAGTTAGTGTTCAGTTTTGTTAAGGTCCGATGTTGCTTGTTGAACAGCAGCAAAAGCGGTTTTCAGTACCACTTTTCTGAAAGAAAAGAATGATCGTTTATTGATATATGAAAGGTTCGTTAATGATTTACATTGTTCCATCTGACTTATCATTGAAATGTTTGTAAGCTTCAGGGGCTAAACAAGAGACAAACACATTGAAAAACAAATCGACATGTGTAGTTAGTTGAGCAAACCTTGTGACAAATCCATTGTATGCGTAATAATAAAAGTTGGATCAACTTCCTAAAGCGTCAATCATATTTCGAATGTCTTGCATGACAATAAAATAGCTTACTCCTTTTTCGATAATTTTCAGAAGGTCATGCCAATAGCTTTGACAATACAGCTGCCCACCTCGCATTGTCACAGCTATGAGAAATAAAAATATATACAAAAAATTCTTAACTGCCATATTTACCTTTCTCCATGAAAGTTCCTGAAAACAAAAGAATGGTTAGTTCATATCATTGATATGTTATATCTTACCGATAGGAAATGCGTTAGATTTGTAAAAACTGAAAAAGAACAACGTTTACCGTCGAAGGAAAAGCATTTTCAATGACTTACTAATCTCCGACAACAGCAATAGTTCCACCTTTTCGAACAATAACAACTGCTTCGGCTAAGATTTCTGGTGTATCCGTTTCGAGAAAGACGGCACGTTGTACAGTATGGATCATACCTTTTGTATAACGAAAACCAACAGCATCAATACACACATCCGGACCACCTATTCAATGAAAACAAATCTAATAGTTATTCAATATATAAATAAGAGTCTAACCGGGCAACAGTTTTTGCATGGTATCGATCACGTTAGCTTTAGAAAAATCAATTGTTTCTGCACCTTGCGATCGTGCTTTAGCCAAACGTTCTTCGATACAATCAATTGAAAAAATACGCTTTGCACCTCGGTATTTAGCCCACATAATTGCTAATAGACCAACTGGTCCAGCTCCCCTACACAAAAGCCAAGATGGTTCATCATATTGATAAGCTATTAACTCACCAAATAGCTACCGTTGTATCTGGACCAACTCCACCTAACACATTGGCATGCCAAGCTATAGTAATATTTACAAATAATATTCCGATAAATGATCAAAAGTAACTTACCAGTACATACTATATCACTGAGAAACAGTACTTNAACACTTCAATGCAATCAGCTATCGAAAAACTTCGTAAATATCGCGATGAAAATCATCGTGCACACGATGAAATTGTCGATCTATGGACAGATGTTTTAGCCAAGCGAAATTTATCCTCGTTGGGCGATGAGAAATGGTTAATTCTTGAACAAGTCTTCAAATCGGCATTACATTGTTCAAAGCAATCCATTGCTCGCCATTGTCTCGATCAATTAGAAAAACAATTTAAACCGACAAGTCGTCGTGTAACAACGCTAAATGCAATGTACCACGAATCCATCGATGATTTCAAAAGCGCCGATGACATTTATTCGAATCTATTAGACGAAAACGAAACAGATGCCATTGTTCAAAAACGGCAAATTAGCCTTTTGAAAGAAAAGAATCAAATTCGTGAAGCGATTAGTCAATTAAATACCTACTTGGAGCTTTACCAGGTAATCCTTCTTCTTCTTCTTCATCTCTCATTGACCAACTCGGTTTCTTTCGCAGGCTGATCAAGAAGCATGGAGTGAACTGTGCGATCTTTATCTCTCGGAACACGACTATGCCAAAGCTGCATTTTGTGCCGAAGAACTTCTTCTGATCAACCCGCACAACCATTTACATCATGAACGTTATGCTTCCATTCGTTATTCTCAAGGTGACGATTATGAAAAAGCCAGAACATACTATTTCAGTGCATTGAAAATCAATCCGGCGAACATTCGTGCTTTGTATGGCGTCGTCTTGACATCAACGAATCTAGCAATGAAAAATTCATCTCGTTCAACTGAGAGCAACCAAGTCTACGTCGAACAAATCCAATGGGCACGTGAACAAATCATTCAAAAATACCGAGAAGCAATACCGGATCTTCTTCCTGTCGTCGAACTCGCTTTACAAAGCTTAGCACTCTAATAAAATCTCTTTGCCTTCGTAGTTCTCATTTTCTGTTCGATGTTGTTCTTGTTTTATTCGGAATCGCCAGAGGAAAGATCGTTCATTCTTCTTTTAGATGTTGAAATGGACCTACAAAATAAATATCAAATACTAGCAGGTGAATTTGCTAAGGTACGAGGACAAGTGACAGTTCTGAAGAAAGCAGTGATCGATGAACAGAGTAAAAAAGCTACTCTTACTCATATTGACTTTTACTGTTTTTGTGACTTTTAGGATGCCATCAACCGGAAAAAGTAGAGTTTACATGAAAATGATCAAGAGATCGAGACGCTTACATTTTGCACATTAGAGTTAATAATTTGCATCGAAGAACAACTCACCAGTCATTTATACTCGCCTGGAAACATGTTTTAGATGGCTCATTCAGTGAAAACGTTTCAATCACATATCTTCCTCGTAGATCTATCGTTACCCGACACTGCTGATCAACTTCAAGGAAAAGTTGCGGAGATTCTGACTGCTTTTCAGACCGGCGCACTTACTCACTGTGGTATGAAACTGCGCAAGCGTGAAGTCAAATGAGAAATATTCAATTTTTCTATAGATCTTGATAAAAATTACAATGACAAATTGTGTTTGGAATATGAACTGAATGTTTCTTCTGAGTATTTAACAACTATCGACGAGTGCATATCTGTAGCAATAAAAAAGTTTTCTCTTGTTTTGTTTTCGTTCTTCATTCGCGACGGAGAACTGCTAGCTAATCGAATTATCTTTTTTTCAGATCATGCCTTCTACACACATAAGAGTGAATCAACCCGGAAGTACTCAGGTATTCAACTTTAATATCGACGAAGACAACGGACTGAGTATTTCGAAACTTGATCATGTTTTTCCGGACATACGCGGCATCCCAGGTCGATTATTTCGGCGGCTGGATCCGTCGAAATCTGAGTCGGATCCAGTACAGGTCTACTCGTTGAATCGTGCTACATTTTAGATGGAAATTCAAGGAAGAATCACAAAAATTTTATCCTCGTCCAAATGAAGAATGGGAAGCGAATGATAGTTATTTCCCAGTAAGTTGATTAAACATTTTATGTATATACATATTTTTTTAAAATTACCTTAGCGGTTCGAGCATCTTCAACGGTTGACTCTACCCAGTGGTTCGTATTCGACAAAGGTAAGCAATTGTTGATTTTCTTCGTGTCATTGAGCAGGATGTTACAAACATGACGTTTTTACTGGTTGTTCGCGTGTGTGCAGCCCGCTGATTGACAGAAATGAGGATCAAACTATACGTCATATTTCACTGAAATATTCGAGCAATCGATGGTCGCGAATCTAGTGTTAATGTTTTTTGGGTCATTTTGTGAACCAATGGTTTCCATGTAGGGGTCACAGAAGAGTACCGGGCGCCGACGATGAGAAATAAAGTTTCTTGAGGTTCAATCTGTGTGTGAAGAATGTCAATATGTTGATTCCAGACTTCACATTGAATAAAAGGATGTATCAGCACAGTCAGAGGTCGATCAAGGTGATTTCGTAAACTGGATCTTATCGATCTCTAGACTCAATCGCTTTCATTTGATTCAACAATTCTAGACAAGAAAAATGAGTTTTGCATCGTACTGCCTTCATATCGAAGATATTTTCTCATAAATTTGTGTTACATTTACTGATCGAGTTAGTCAAATTTAGATTTAACCATATTCCAACGTTTGTACCGTTGATGGGCGGGGCACCCTTCTAAGTACTCAACAATCGACTAGAATCCCGATCAAAATCAATGTGTATATTGCATATACTGGTACGTATTGTGTGGTTGTTTTTATGTTATCATTGTGCTTTGCCTTTACTACTCATTTGATCATCCTAATGCTTTGCTGTTTGCTCGTAAACTTCTTAAATTGCGTCTCATTCGTGTATGAAGTAAAATTCGCGTGATGCAAAGTCCAAATCTTGAGAAATTGTACGTCAATGGATGGAGCTTTTCGCACTGGTTCACAATAGGTGTGTGATACAACTAGAAATTAGACCAAGAGTCCCTTCTCGGCAATTTTCGATTTTATCAATGCTTGAGAGAGAGAGAAGAAAATAACAATGCTCTTAAATCGGCAAAGGGAACGTAACCAAATCCAAATCTAGAAAGGGGAGACAACAGAAATCGAATCAAGAGAGACAGACTAGCAGCAGCAGCATGATCCACCATAGCTTGTGTTTTAGGTTTTCTGCCCAGCTTAAACTAGTTCTATTTCTGTTACTCGAATCGGTACACCAGTGAAAAAAGTTATGAAAGTTCTCATCCTGATTTTTTATTGTAACCAAGAAAGTCGATCCTTTCCATCGCAGTAGCCAACATGGCTCCAACTGAGTCGTACCTGTCTCTTTCATTTCGAATTATACGCGTCTTTGTTCAACTAATAATATTCGGCATCAGCATTAAAATTGCATCGAAACGTGTCAGGCGCTTGAGCTTTTTAGTGCAGCCAACTACGTCGATAGTGTCTATTTTTTCAATAAGAAAACGTGGAATAATATTCTTCTTTTAATTTTAGTGAATATTCGTATCGTCGTCGTAACAAGCTTCGTCTCACTGTTGGTTCTTGCTTTAGTCGATCTGACCAAATTATATTTCGATCCGCCTTCCAATTGGCACTGGTTCCCAGGTCGATCATTCCGGCCGGAATTTCATAGGAAATATCCGATCAGTTCCTGACCGTTTCCAGCTCGAAGTTTGCAGGAAACGGTCGGGAAATGAGTGGAACCTACGTTTGAACTTCCGGTGGCAAGGAAATGGTCGGAACACGAACCTAACCGGCTGGAACCGATCGTCCCATAGTAACCTGGGTTTATTCGTGCTGTTCTTCTTTTTTTCTCTGGTTGTGTTCTTGAGATTGCACTTATTCACTTTTATCTCAAAAGAAGATAGTTCAACGTTTTTCTTTTTAGATAAAACAAAAAAGAGAAAATGGATCCTATTTTCCCAATAACACATATTTTCAACAACAACAAAATATCGAAAATCATCGTGCACACGATGAAATTGTCGATCTATGGACAGATGTTTTAGCCAAGCGAAATTTATCCTCGTTGGGCGATGAGAAATGGTTAATTCTTGAACAAGTCTTCAAATCGGCATTACATTGTTCAAAGCAATCCATTGCTCGCCATTGTCTCGATCAATTAGAAAAGCAGTTTAAATCGACAAGTCGTCGTGTAACAACGCTAAATGCAATGTATCACGAATCTATCGATGATTTCAAAAGCGCCGATGACATTTATTCGAATCTATTAGACGAAAACGAAACAGATGCCATTGTTCAAAAACGACAAATTAGTCTTTTGAAAGAGAAAAATCAAATTCGTGAAGCAATTAGTAAACTAAACACATATTTACAACTTTATCAAGTAAATCTTTCTCGTTTTTTCAATACTTTAATCATTATTTGTTTTTGTGAAAGGCTGATCAAGAAGCATGGAGTGAATTATGTGATCTTTATCTTTCTGAACATGAATATGTGAAAGCATCATTTTGTGCTGAAGAACTTCTTCTGATTAATCCACATAATCATCTAAATCATGAACGTTATGCTTCTATTCGTTATTCACAAGGTGATTATGAAGGTGCGCCATCATATTATTTTAGTGCATTAAAAATCAATCCAACAAATATTCGTGCTTTATATGGAATTATATTAACATCAACAAATCTTGCTACGAACAATTCTTCTTCGAATTCTCGATCGAATGAAAACAATCAAGGTTTTACTGAACAAATTCAATGGGCACGTGAACAAATCACTCAGAAATATCTCGAAGTAATACCTGATCTTATTCCGATCATTGAATCAGCTTTACCAAGTTTAATATTATGATAAAAACCTTCTCTTTATCTCTCTCATTGTTCTTAGTTTTCATGATGTTGTTGTTCTTGTTTTATTTGGTATTAGAAAAACAAAATAGATCATCATAAATTGTTGTTTTAGATGTTGAAATGGAGTTGCAAAATAAATATCAAACATTATCAAGTGAATTTTCTAAAGTTCAAGGACAAATCACAGTTCTGTAATTGATGAACAAACTAAAAATCAACCATTTCAAGTACAACTTCTCCTTTTTTCCCGTTTTAATGGACGAAGTCAATCGACGAGATCAAAATACTCGACGAAATCGACAAGAAATTGAAACATTAACATTTCTTAATACTCAACTACAATCCCATTTAGGAATTCTTGAACAAGAATGAAATGAATATGAATTCAATTCGAGAACAAAGAAGATCGATAGCAATAAAACAACACGAAGTATCTATCTTTATAACAATATACTTGCTCAAGAATTAGAACAGAAAATCGAACAATATGCATCAATGCATCATCGAGTAAGATCTTCATTTCGAATCGATTCTCTGTATATCTCTATCGTTTAGATTTATGAACTAGAAAAACAAATATCTGACACTCAAAATGAACTAGTTAATGAACAAGTTGAACAACATTTGCTTGATCAATCTTCTAGTGCTGGTGTTAGTCGAAAACCGTTTGTATTATTTTTTTAAAGTCTTTTCAGAATGAAATTTATTGTCGCCTAGGTCAATGTGAAATGCTCAATCAAATACAACAATTCAGGCTCTTTCGACACCACAGCTGAAGCTATTTTTATCTGAATATGTGATCGCATGGCGAGATGCATTCACCGAACTTACCGTGTCCATCGACAATTGAAAAAGAACGAACGTATCTTTGACATGGTTCAGACAAGAGAAGCTTTTTAGCAACATGCAGAGAATCTTCGATTCCAATTAAAAATCCATCTTTGTGATGGAAAAGTAATAAATTTGTAAGATGAAACTTCGCAGACTTGATCTCAGATAACTTAGTGCCTATGGGAGAATAATAACATCACCAGTTTTATCGAATTATTTAATTTGTTCGCTTAGTTTTATGGAAAAGTTCCTACTTTTGCCATATAAAGGTAAATATGACTTCTCTTGTTTGATTTGTATGAAAGTTGTTCGTCTTAGTGTTTGTGATCAACGAACAATAGATGGTTCGTAGTGAAATCAAGACAGAATTTATGATCAAACTAATTCATAGAATCATGTACTTCACCTATTATTTCTAAGATGGGCAAACAACTTATCCTCATTGCATGATATCTGTGTGGATATTATTCAAATGGATGAATAAGTGAATCGACATTGATGAATATTCTCATGTTTTTCTCGTAGATTTATCATTATCCGATACTGCTGATCAACATCAAAGAAAAGTCGCCGAGATTTCACGTACATCTCAGATCGGCGTATTTATCGATTGTGGTATGAAATTGCATAAACACGAAGTCATATGTGAAAAGCTTGATCTTTTGTAGATCTTGATGAAAATTCTAGCGTCAAATTACCTTTCGAATATAAACTTAATGTTTCTTCATTACATTGACCTGCAAAAGCAGATAAATGTGTATTAGTTGTGCGAATAAAACTAGTTCTTCTTACATTAGAAACTGTTCTTTCTGTTGTTTCGCTTTTTCGTTTTGATTTAGGTATGAAGAAGAGTTGTTCAATGATATTTTGCTTATTTTAGATCATGAATACTACAGAAGTCAGAGTGAAATCACTTCGAACTAAACAAGTATATGTGCTGGAAGTTAATGAGGATAATGCCGTGAAAATGGAAGATGTTCATCGCTTTTTTTTAAATGCAACAGGACTCGGATATTTGAATGAAAATAACGAAATTCGCACGTAAGTTGAATTCGATAAATATCAACGATATGTGCATACTTTATGTTAGGTTGAAAGTCGATGCCGCATCGCAAAAGATTTTTCCTCGTACAAACGAACAATGGGAAACGAATATTGATTATATTCCTTGTTATCCAGAAGCAGCACGTAAGTGAATAAGAACTTTTCTTGTACATATTTGTACGACTATATCATTCATGTATTTGTAGCTGTTCAAACACCTTCATCAGCATCACCACCACGTAGTTGTTTCTCATTCGACCAAGGTAAATCATTGTTTTTTTTTCTGTTGGTCATTGCATAAAGTCTTGCAAATGTGGATTGCGAATGTTCGTCGATCATTAGTTAATCGAAGTAGAAGGTGAAACTGATGAGAACTTGTGAGAGAGAAGTTTCATGAAAAGACAATCGAGTTCAAGAATTATCATTGTGATATCAGTTGCTTGATAGTATCATTCAGGATTGTTTTATTTCTCAAAACTTCATGAATGTGCATTGTATTGAAGATTAATGCTTAGCACGACGAGCGAGTAATATGATATTATAGATACGTATAGGCAGCAAACCTGCTTTGTAAAACTACATTCTGTCAGACTGCTCACAAAAACTTGCCAATTCATTTTCACAGAAACTCAGAAGAACGATCAGATCTCTATTTCTTTTCTTCTTCCTTCGATATTTCCAATGTTCTCGATGGAATCATTTTTATCGACGAATAGTGCTTTATGTAATGTAATAAAGATCAAATGCGCTTACTTCGTATGAAATTATATCAAAGCATTGTGTTGAAATCGAACTAAATTGAAATGAAAGACGAATAGTCCAGCTTGTATTGCATACTTATGTATAATACAAAACTTACGTGGAGTCGAGAAAAAAGATGCCCATCGGAAGTATCGATGATTTGGCGACATCTTACAGATACTCTATGCAATGAAGTTAGTGTTCTGCGAAGATGAAGACGAAGATGATAAAGATGAGATCAAGCAGTGTACACAAGTTTCATGATCATCTCATTGATTTGTAAAGAGTCGTCGTAGGATAGATGAAGTAGCACAGCGACACTGTCGAGTAGTGCATTCGTCTTTCGAACATCATACAATATTCTGTCGAAAGTAGTTGTCGATGAGATTAAGCTCATAAACTGGACTATGACCATCGGTGGCTTTCATTATTGTCTATCGGATCGAATGATCCCATAGAAAACTAACATTTTTGTAGAATATTAATGACAGATGTTAGAGATTGTTTGAAGTAAGCATAATTAATATGTTTTCTAACAGAATTCATGTCATTTAGATACCAGTATCTCTGAACTAATCTACAAATGGTGGATGGGACGTTCGTATAAAAGTTTGAAGACTGATTAGATGTTAGTCTAATCGATACGGTACAGTCTTGTAAATATTATGTTGTTCTCATTTATGTTCTATTTACAGTTTATGTTCCTTTTTGTTTGATCTTTGTCATTCGCATAAGTGTGACAAGAGATGTGGATGAATGTGCGATGCGAAGATGAATAACCGGCGATTTTCGCAAACCTATTCTCCAGACGAACGAATAAAACTTTCATGTGACCACTATTTATCTAACCGTATCTTTTCTAAATTTGTTTAATTCAGTTTTCAGACTGTTTTTATAGCATGGAATGATATATGTGATCTTTATGTTCCTGAACATGAATATGCTAAAGCACCATTTTGTGCTGCAGAACTTCTTCTTCTCATTAATCCACATAAACATCTAAATCATGAACGTTATGCTTTTATTCGTTATTCTCAAGGTGATTATGAAAGTGCTCGATCATATTATTTTAGTGCATTAAAAATTAATCCAAAAAATATTCAAGCTTTATATGGAATTATATTAACATGAACAAATTTTGCAACGAAAAATTCATCGTGAAATTGTCGATCCAATGAAAATACTCAAGGTTTCATTGAACAAATCATTCAGAAATATCGTGATTCAATACCAGATCTTGTTCCAATCATTGAATTAGTTTTACAAAGTTTCACATTATAATACAAACTCTCCCTCCCATTCTTCTTAGTTTTGATGTTGTTGTTCTTGTTTGATTTGGTATTAAAAAAAAACAAAATAGATCATCATAAATTTTTGTTTGTAGATGTTGAAATGGACTTGCAAAATAAATATCAAATATTAGCAAGTGAATTTTCCAAAGTTCGAGGACAAGTCACAGTTCTCAAGAAAGCTGTTATCGATGAACAAACTAAAAATCAACAATTTCAAGTACAACTTTTCTCTTTTTCCTATAAATAATTCTTCATTTTCTTGTTGTAAAGGAAGAAATCAATCGACGAGATCAAAATATTCGACGAAATGGACAAGAAATCGAAACATTAACATTTCTTAACACTCAATTACAATCACGTTTAGAAGTTCTTCAGCAGGAATTGAAGGAATATGAATCACATTCGAAACTAAAAAAGACAAGTAGCAATAAAGCCGTCGCGAATCATTCGTTTAGCAACAACATTCTTGCTCAAGAACTCGAACTGAAAATCCAACAGTTTGAAGCGATGCATCGTCGGGTAAAAGCTGCATTTCGTCTCGATTCTTAGCGAACCTTTTTGGTTTAGGTTTATGAGTTGGAAAAACAAATATCGGACACCGAAACTGAGCGCATGAACCATCGTACAAATATCGAACAGTTACAAAATCAAATGGCAGAAATGCAAGAAAGTCATCAACGAGCTCGAGATGAATATGAACGCATATTAAAACAGGTAAAACATGAAAATGAACTACTCAATGATCAAGTCAAACAACATTTAACTGATCCGCCGACAAATGCAGTTGTTAGTCGCAAATCGTTCGTATCTCTGTTGTCGAATCTTTTTCGAAAACAATTTGTTTTTGTTTAGGTCAATTTTAAACGCTCAATCGAAAACGACAACTGAAGCTTCTTCTATTCCTCAACCAGAGATACTTTTATACAAATATTTAATCGGATGGCGAGATGCATTTACAGAATTGACGATTTATATCGAAGAACGACTCAAAAACAACGATCGCGCTTCTGAAAACAATGAAAAAGTGAGTGAGAAGATAATTTTATTCGACTTCAACGAACGGAGATACTTTTTAGATGGCCCAGACAGTGAAAGCTTTTCAGCAACACGCCGAGAATTTTTTAGCCGAATTAAAAATTCGTTTTTTCGATGGACAGGTAACGAATTTATCTGAGAAAACTTTTCATACTTAACTTCGTGTGATTTAGTGCTTATTGGAGAATAATAACACAATAGGTTTTGCCGAATTATTTAGCATGTTCGTTTCATCATGCGAGAAAGTCCTTGCTTTTGCCATAAAAAGGTCAGTACAACTCCTCTGAGATTTTTTATCACAAGATTCCTTTTCAGTGTTTGTGATGAACCAACAGTAAGTTCTTCATCGGGAAATCAAGACAAAGTTTATGAGAAAATCAATGCACTGAACAGTGTACTCAATCAACTATTCCAAAAATGGGCTAGTAACTTATCNTAATATCACCGAAACGCAAAGTTGTAATCATAGTCAATTTTTATATGCTGATTCTTTCTATTTGATTCTTACTTTTTCTGCAAATCTATCAAAATCATTTCCTCGAGTGTTATTGTTTTCGTTTTCTTTCTCCACATGTATTTTGATAATCTTTCTTCATCTCTGTAATAGATTGTATGTGCGCTATCGACAATATCAAGGTTTACAACATATATTACATGATCATTTCTTCGCTCATTCAATTGGCATATTTAATCAATGCATTTGAACGAATGTCATGGATTGCTCGTTATTCTTGTTGACTTTTTCTTGGTTTTATTAGAGTATCTCTTCGGAGAAAGACTTTTTTATCCGCGCACTCATTGAGATATATTCAAGTGTAACTCTGAAGTTAACACTACATTGAGACTGACACTGGACATATCTAGTTCTAATTCGAAGGATGCTTACTTACGATCCTATGGTATCATTTCAGACATCATGATTGTGATTTTTCAAGAATAAGGTGGATCAATAATTTGCTTTTCTAACGAATTCCGAGTGTTTGTCTCAGTTCTATTCATGTATAATCTTTCAAGAAGTTCTCTTTTTAGTTAGAAGTTGTTTCAATACAAATAAATAGTTTTGATTTGATGTAAAACGGAATTAGTCAACATTCTTACTGTTATTTAATGTTTGTATAAATACAGATTTGAGCAAGGATAGTTCCTGTTTTATATCACACATTTTCTAGATCATTTACTACTAATCAGCTGACTCCAGCTATTTTTGTGTTCATACTGAACGAAAGCATCCGACTAATGAACACATCTAGCTGTTTCGCACACGAGAAGATTTCTCAATAGGTGAAACATGTCGAATGGTGCTGTTTTATTTTCAAGTCTACACTAATTCATTTTTTTTTATATTTGTGCCTTTTGTGGTTATTTATCTAGCTGAAAAATCTATCCATATTGTAGAAAATATTTTGTGATACATACTCAGGGAAAAGGCACTGGTTTACCACTGTCACTATAAACATTTTTTATTACTATTGGTTAGTGTAATAGAAAAATTAATTGAATGTAGCCAAAACGAAAAATTCGAATAGAGTTTGCAAAAATCTACAGAATCATCTTAAAAAGAGATGTTCATTGAAACTTGTTGCTTGAGTAATATCCCACATATCGTATGATGCTACAATAAACCTCTAATTTGGCAACAAGTAAAGTTTGATAGAAAAATGATGAAGTTAATCTGATGAAATCATAGAAAAACTAATAATGATTTGCTTCTCTCTTGTCAGAACAAAACAAATCCGAGAAGATTCTAAATTATGTGTTTTTCCCTATTTTCGAAAAACTTTAGAATTACGTTTCTGATCTAACACTGCTAGTATGAAGTACGTTTTTGGTATACTGTCAAATTTCATACAAATGACAATGACCCACACTTTATAACTATAGAATGCGTTTGCCCTTTCTTTCCAGAAAGATGATCAACTCTTCCAGCAACAATGAATGAATAAGTTTACATTACTTTGGTAGACCTAGAAAAGTGGTTCTTATCCGGAACCGTCCCTTCTCCCTAGATCTGCCACTGAGTTAATGTTTTCGCTTAACAATATTTTATTGAAATTTATATATCAGAAGATTCTAAATTTTATCCTCGATCGAATGAGGCCCTTCTCATTAGAAGTAAGTTTCTAGAAGTACAAATTTTACGCCGAAAATGCTTGAGTTTATCACCTTTACAGTTTATTTAATCTTATGATTAGTTGTGTGGTAAGAATATATTGATGTCACTAAAATATATATGGTGAATACATGCCTATTTCAGTTCTTCACCAGATTCTGTAAAATATTTCAGTGTTTGCCTACAGATTTCATATAAATGACGCTAGGTAGAAGTGCATCTGCTCATAATAGTAAACGCACGAAAGAGACGTTTTACATTTCCTCTAATAATATACCATTCTCATTCGACATATCAATCAATCACATAACGGACAGAAATAAACAAAGCACTCAACGAATCTCTTCTTTCAGAAAAGGAAAACGGTAAAACACCAATCAGAAACAGTTAGATTCATTTCATTTGCGGTTACAACTCGATTCATCTCTTGCATTCGTAAAGCTCCATTCAGGCTGGATGAAATAAAACGAATTAGGCAATGTGATTAGCGTTTCTACGAAACAACAGCTATTACACTGGCTAAATCTATATTATTCCCTCTAGCCTGTACAGAATGATTATTACCCGCATTTTCGTTTTAATTCGTTATTCTCTTGATAACAATGTCTTTTGTTTCATTGTATTTAGTATAGACATGTACTCGTGTTAATTGTCGATCAATCTATCTAAAAGCATCCACGTGCAACAGTTTTCAACATGGAATACAACAAAATAGTTGATACCAGTGAAGTTTTCTGCGATCACGACGAAATTTATGAATATAATCTGAAGAAAGTAATGATTAATTCGATTGGTTTCAACTTTAAAGAACAACGTTGGTTCTTTCGTTGTCTAGGTCAATAGTAACAATGTTTTTATTACATATAAAATGCAGTTGTTGAAAAGTATCGAGGAAACACATTATTACCTATTCATAGACAAGTACATAATTTTCATGAGTTTGGTGGATATTCATACGTTGTTTGTATTTTTTTTCAGATCATTTGCTGACCCATCCTTGGAATCATTTCATTCTGATATCGAAGCAGCGATGCTTAAATTTCGTTCGATGTGAGTCATTATAGCTGGTGAAATGTATTACGCAATGCTTAATATACTACAATCTCTTTCTTTAAGTTTTCATGATCTTACGGGAAATTGTTGGCATCTCAAAGAACATTTTGTTCATGTTCCAGAACACTACGAATACATTTATCCAAATGAACTCAATCCCAGGTTATTATGGCGCGGTCGGTTCGGTTCGTTTTCCGACCATTGCCTTGCCGCCGGATTCCGGCCGGAAGTTCAAACGTAGGTTCCAGTCATTTCCCGGCCGTTTCCTGCAAACTTTGAGCTGGAAACGGTCAGGAACTGATCGGATATTTCCTGTGCAATCCCGGCCGGAATCAACTCAGATTTCTATGGATCCAGTCGCCGGAATGATCGACCTGGGTCGAAGCGAGTCTTCTTCGTCGTGGCCTTTTGCAAGATAATCTTTCGATATATGAAGAAGTTCATTATGATATGGTCGACTTAGCGATTCTGAAATTGAGCAAACCACTTAAAAATTTATCACATCGACATGAATTCGTTAAACCCGGGTTTAATTCGCCGTCCTGCAAACTCACTTCGGTAATAAATTCAAAACTATATTTGGTCTGTTACAACGGTGAATTAACTGAAGATTCCGACGTGAAACCTTACAAATACATACACGGCTTAAAAAATATAAGCACTGATCAATTCAATTTTTGTCACAATTCTAACTACAAGTCAGTCTCTGTTGGATCAATCGTTCATTCGCATGACTTACCGCATCTGTCGACTTACGCTACACACACGTGCAGCACGCTGCCTGGTTTTAGCGGAGGCGCCATATTTGATTCGTACGGCAATTTTACTGGAATCCATATTGGCGTCGCGAACTCTCGCCAATCGAAAAACCGAGAGATGTTCTTTAGCAATGATACGTACAACAAGTATATACCCGTGAAGTCCAAAGCTTTTGTCGACTTTATCAATCAGTCGGTGTTGACTAATATGACCGATGTCCAGTTTGCAGAATGTTGGCGAACAGATGCGGTAAGGAATTTTAGCATTTCATATCTCTTTATTGTTCTCTTCAAGTTTCCCCGTACAAATAAAACTTTATTATGGATTCTTTTTAGTTCATTATTTCAGTTGAATACAATGCAAGAAGAAACTTACATTGAGAAAAAAATGATCAATAACGGACAAAAGTTAATCGGACCAATCTTCGATGAAGCAGCCCAAGTAAGGCTTTTCATTAATTGTTAACTTGAGATTGATTTGTATTTTTAGGCAAATATTCTTCATCAACCAGCTGTTCGAGTGATGGACAAACACTCGTGATCAATTCAGATTTCTTCAATATTTTCCTTATCAATGCCGATGAACTTTACCAGATAGAACCTCTTCATTGATATAAAATATCGTGTTCTTCGGTTTTTTTTCTTCATCGTAACATTGAAAATTGTTCATTTGAAAGCATCTATGTAGATAAACTTCATATTTCATTGTAATGAAAAAATTTTTCGGAATCATGGACGTAGACCTTCAACAAAAAGATAATCTTTAAATGCACCGAGAGAGAAAATTGTTTGCATATAATACATTAGATCACATCAAAAACGAAAATTGAGGGTGAGGATGTGGGAATGGTGCTGGGAAAGCGAAGTCGGGGGAAAAATAAAAGTGACGGTGCTCAGAAATATTTGCAACCAAATCACAGCTGAGCACAACAAACACTGTTGTGTGTTCAAAAACTCGTATAGAGGTGCTAGAGCGTTAAATGAAACTCTTTTGCCAAAAATATTGATCGGAAATAATCGGTTCAGAGTTCGATTGTGAAACACATTAACAATAGTTTTTGTTTCGACATATTAGAACATAGTGTGATATAAAATATACTAAAGTAAAAGTCGTTTAAATCACATCAACCAATATTCTTCAAGCTTGGAGGATATAGTGCTATTGAACAGGAAATTGAATATCTCAAATCCACGCATATTCCTCAGTTTCCCAGAACATATATACACATAGACACCGAGCTGTATCAGGGTTATCAACTGTACCTCATTTGAACCGTTTGCAACTCAAAAAGTTTTGTACCCATGAGACACGGCTTTTGTGCCCCATTTGCGGTTTTCGATGAAATCTTTACTTTAGTGTATCTTTTGATTGGAGAGATTGAAAACCGTCATAATTCTCTGAAAAGAATCAAAAGATGAAGGTAATCTTTTTTTCGCAAACCGACGATCGATCACTGCGGAAAAGAAATGAATATTTGGTATGGTCACTTCTGGGCTTTTCTACCTACAAGGTCGAAGTCGATGTTCATCAAAACGCACACATTTGTTTCTTATATGTTCTTCATACCCTGCTTGAACGCATTTGCTGAGAGAATTTTCAGTGATATAAAAAAATACATGGGCTATCAGTCAAAATTTGGCGATGAATGAAACTATCGCTGCTGAACTGAAAATCAGACTGAGTAGTCATATGAAATGAGAAGATTTTTTTGTCATTTATACAATCGAACCAGAATTGGTCACGGCTGCTGTAAATAAGAAAAAGTAGTTTCTTGAGAAATGCGTACCAACTACTGCAAGAATAGGTGGAAATGTTTTTCTTTGAGTGAGCGCTGATTTTATTGTAATCGACTGACATGTTAAAGTGTCGAAATAGAATTCAATTTTATTGCGAAAAGTATTGCCTCGAAATACACAGCTCTATTCGAAAACTGCTCTCTAGATGAAAGAGATAAATTGAAGACACTGTTTCCTTCTCGAAAACACTTGGCAAAATTTACTTCCGGCTTCCGTCGTCAATTTAGAAGAAAATAAATTGTATACTCCATACGGGTACTGCATTTAGAATCGGTGTGAAGCTAGCACCAGATAGCGAAAAATCATAAAAATCTTATGTTCAAATGAATTCCCATCTGTGGAAATAGACTCATTCGACGCAGAATTTCATTCAACATCGAATGGTGTCGTTTTTATCGATGGGAAAACGACTGAGAAAATTTTATACAGATTTTTCTATACGTCTGTGTCTGGAAGGGAAAAGTCTAAATAGAATCTTCTCAGTCGTTTTCCCGTCGATAAAAACGACACCATTCGATGTAGAATGAAATTCTGCGTCGAATGAGTCTATTTCCACAGATGGGAATTCATTTGAACATAAGATTTTTATGATTTTTCGTTATCTGGTGCTAGCTAAATGGGGCTAGCTTCACACCGATGCATTTAGAACTAACGAGGGAGATACCCGAAGTATCCACTCGCTTTACAACTCATATTTTGATCACGGGTAGACCTCAATGGGACTAGTAGGAAGCCAAAAGGATTTGTGCCCATGGTTCCCTAGTCAAAAGTTATGACTGCCTCGTCATTGATACGAAATATGTGATCAAGAGCTTGAAAATCTTTTGATTTAAATAATAGCTTTTTTCTGAAGTAACTGTTGTAGCCTATACTATGATTACTAAACACCATGCTCCTAAGTTTTTTTCTGAACGCGAAGCCGCGATTTCTGAAAACTTTCTAATATACTTCATCTCGAATGTTTTAACTAGTCATATACAATGATAGACATTAAATGAGATATCACTGATGAAAATGATATTCTAGAAAAAAATGGATGAAGCATAATCTCTTCTCGCACCAGCTGCAACGAATAAATGGGGATTGGTCACAGTTCGTGACCTGGCAAGTGGCCTTGTGAGTGTCAAAGCATACTTCATGAACTATTTTGAAGATCCCGGGATGTTTGTCGGCATAGCCGCTAGCAAACGACGCATAGCTAATTAGACCGTTGAAAACTTTCGCAGACATTTGATTATGCGTGAGCGAAACTAGGCGAATGATATTGTTGTAACGATAATGATATCGTTCATCTCTTGCTGTTCTTTATTCTCTTACCTCTATATCATACTATCTCCGGGTCATATCTCTCTTTCCTCTTCTCTATATAAGCGCGTGTCTTATTGTGAAAGAGATACATTCTGGTCATGTAGAGTAGTCAATAAACATCGATACCGTGAGAAACGGTCAGCTACTCAACCAGTTTGTCGTTACAATTGTCCTGTGTGCTCATAACAATTGGTCGAGAATCACACGATCATAAGCACGACGTATTACTGATCCCATCTGCCCATTGTAGAACACATCGAGCGGTTGCAATCGATCGGTGGTCTTCTATGGGATGCCGAGACGTTTGCAACCCGACACTTGAGAGTGAGGGTTTGACTATAACTAAAACTATTTCTATACTTTCAAAGCTATATGTGTCTATTTATATTCGAATTGATATTAGTCTATTGGATGTCCATTTATAATATAAGTCGAATTAGGCAACTCATGCAATACGATCAGCCAACATAGTTGTCACAGACACAGTATTTATCATTTTACTTTTGCGAGTGAATGAAGAAATACACATAATCTAGGAGATCTACGTATTACTCATTACATTCATTTTGTGACCACTACACAACAAAAACGAAAGGGAGCGCAGATATACACTGAACGACATGGTACTATTGTTGGAAAAAGTTACTGTTCAAATCAAAAGATTTCCAGAAACAATTTATAAGCTCTAGATCACATATTTCGTATCAATGACGAGGCAGTCATAACTTTTGACTAGGGAACCGTGGGCACAAATCCTTTTGGCTTCCTACTAGTCCCATTGAGATCTACCCGTGGTCGAAATATGAGTTGTAAAGCGAGTGGATACTTCGGGTACCTCCCTCGTTAGTCAGCGGCACTAGCTCGGTCAGATTGCTTCCGCCTCTACTAATAGTACAAGTTCAATGATCACGCCATCCATCGCTTTTCTTTGTGAATTTATAAAGGAGAAAAACGGTGTGTGTAACTATAGTAATAATAGTTTGTACACAATCTTTGTAGAAAAGAAAAGAAATATTAACGTAATTAGTTTTCTTTCTTCATGAGAATGTTGTTTACAATAATTAAAATTATTTATACATGGTAAAATAATTCAATCTCTAGCAGAAACATTTTCCAATATATTTATGATAGAAATGTAATAACTCTTTAAATATATACTCTTCTATTTTTAACATATTTATAATTAGTGTTTTTCGGTTAATCTGACATTTTTGTTCAGTGTGTTATACAACATATATCAAAAATATTATTTCAGCTTTTTTTCTATTAGAGAGCATAATTGAAAAAGAAAATATAAAAACTTTTACTATACTCGATAAAAATTACGAGATTTTCTCTTTTGCTATTAATTTATTTCTTTTATTACTTTATCATAGAAAGTAGAAGATACTGTCTTTTACTAACTGACAAATTTGTTACTTTGAAATTCAACACTTTATTTGTCAACGCAATATCGCAGTGAGTATTGCTATTATACTCTCAAATCAAATTATTTTTGATGTAAATGACTGTTTCGTTTTTGATGATATTATGTAAACATTTGAAATTACTTTCTGTTGTTTGTCTGTTTAAATATTGTCATCATGAGAAAATTAAATACCTGCACTAAGATTTCTATTAGCTCGTGCCATAGATCAAATCTACAATACACAAAAGTCGCATACATTTTGTTGCAAAGTAACATACTAGTTTTTGGTTTGGTCGTATATTAAGGATGAAGATTCGTCTAGTATATGCTATACATTGTATAAATTATCAGGACACGGCCTGACTGAGAATTGAAAGCAGTCGGTATGAGTTTGCAACAAATTCATACAAAAGCGGGAACTATTCCGGATTTTGAGTGAGATCATCAAACGTATCATACATTCCATTAAAATTCTATTAATCTTTTGCAAATCTACTGTTTATCATTGAAATTCTCTCATTTTGAAAAGTATTTTATCCTATTTCCTCATCGAACATCGACTGATATAGTGAGCAAAAATCTTACAAGTCAATAGTCAAAGATTATCGTTTCTTGCAATCATCAGCTTTAGTTATGTGAAAATATTTGAAAAACTACTCAAACTGAACTAATGACTGAATAGACGCTATTCTTTTCTTTACAGTTTCTCCGATTTCCCCATTTTTTTACCTGTACACTTCATGTAATTCCCTACAATTTAATAGTAGTCCAGAAATTAGAAACATCCCAATAGTGTGAAACATCTTTTAATCCATCTTTTTGTTGCGTGACAAAACGAATATGAAATTCTACGCATCCGTTTGCATCGTATCTTTTAGTCGGAAACATGCCTGTTCAGCTTTCTGACTTATGGGATAGATTCCGGTTAGCCATTAAGAACTTAAATCTGTTTCCATCGATTCCTCCAACACCAGACCAACACCAACTTCGAAATCAACTCATTTCAACACGATTATTCATTATTCTGCTCACTCTCTCGTTAACTATTCTTCTTCTCTACAACTCATTAATTACTATTACACAGACAAACACAGTTACTTTTCCGACAATCACAACATATTTACAGTTGTACTCTGAATATCCTCAATCATTATCTTGTGATTGCAAACAAATCTCCATCAATCATGATAAATTTCTTCACATCACTTACACCTTTCACGAGATCTGTAATAGTGTATTTATCACTCAAGATTGGTTCGATCACCTATATCGTACATTTTCAACCATGTATTTATACAGTGATGACTTCAGAACTGTCAGTGTATTCTTTTTTCAGACGTTGCCGATATTTTGTGATTTAAGCAGTGAAACAATCGAAAATCGTTTGAGAGAATTCTATTCGAGTCAATTTGTGAGCGCATCTCTCCTTCCTTCAGAACTATTCTACCTTGAAATTGAATCACTCATTACTCAATTCATCTCAACAACAACTAACACATTTTTATTATCATTGTCATCAATTCGACAAATGACGCAGAGCAATCTTTTACTTTCTGCTGAACAAACAAACGCTTATCCTTACACGTATACCTATGATTCTGTATGGTTTTTTACAAAATTGTATGATAATTGTAACTGCAAAATGTCTGCTCAATGTGTAGTGATATCCCCAATCTTCAATGGTTTAGATCGTACAGTCATACTATATACTGTACCTGGTATATATACCGGATGTTATATCATTGAAACATTACTGAAGTCAGATCTCCGATGTTTCTACAGTCAAACATGTATAAATAAAGTCCTATCATACTTTATTGGAGCTGCACCAATGAATGTTTCAGCTCTTGATGCATCTCTTCTAGTTAAGTTTATGGTGAATTCAACATTAGAAGATGTCACCAATAATTTAATGGTAAACAAATGGAATCACTCGATCATATACGAAAATTACTTTAATGAATGTGCAGTGAGAGAATGTCGCTATGTACATGAAACAAAAAACGGTGCGATTTATATAATAACTACCATCATAGGATTCATTGGCGGTATAATAACAGTTTTGAAGTTAATTATACCTCGTATAGTGGATGTTGTATGCAGAAAAAAGCAAACGAAGACCAGAGAAACAGGTGAGATTTCGGTAATAAGGATATATTCAGTTTTTTTATTTCCGCGTGTTACTAAGATCAGTCCGCAATGTAAAGATACCATCTCACCGAGGATATCTATTTTTGCAAATAAGAACTTTCTGTGGACTACATTTTCCTGAAGTAGTATATAACTGGTATATGAGAGTTTTTGCATTACGCTGAATTTTATTTCAAGCACTTGGAAAAGGTAGACTGAATATATATGACGAGCAATCTGTTTGTCCCATGGTTTTTCAAGATGACTCGACATTTTATCATTGATATAGATATAATTCAGCAAAGGTTTCTGCATAATTCAGTTCTTTACTGAAGAGACACGATAATCCATTATCTATGATGTGCTGTGTGCATTTTTCTTGGAAGCTAAATTTAGATGATGCTACTACCTTACACCATCAATAAATGAGTCCATGACAAAGTATGACATCTATATCGTTTTATTAGGGAAATAACTTCAAATTTCTCTTTAAAAGAATATCATAGTATACGCTTTATAAATCTACGGTTAATAATGAGTGCTTTTCTGAGAATCATATTGCCGCGCTATACTACTTCAGCTGTCATGTTTCATAATATTTCACTTATGTGTACGAACTATTTGATATAAACCCTACTTCAAAAGATCAAATATTCGTCACATTTACTTTTCTCGGTGCCGTATGATGCTTTTTTATGAAACTTTGCTTAGGAATATGATTATACGTGATAGAAAGTAGATCCTTATAAGTTTATTTTATATATTTCTAAAGGAAGCGACAATGAAAATTGGGTACAAATAAGAAAACGTGAAATAATGGTCTTCTTAAAAACATACAACTTCTTTCCATCGATTCCTCCAACACAAGATCAACACCAACTTCGAAATCAGCTCATTTCAACACGATTATTCATTATTCTGCTCACTCTCTCGTTAACTATTCTTCTTCTCTACAACTCATTAATTACTATTACACAGACAAACACAGTTACTTTTCCGACAATCACAACATATTTACAGTTGTACTCTGAATATCCTCAATCATTATCTTGTGATTGCAAACAAATCTCCATCAATCATGATAAATTTCTTCACATCACTTACACATTTCACGAGATCTGTAGTAGTGCTTTCACTACATCGCGTTGGCTCGATTATCTGACCGACGCACGTCCCGATATGACCCTATTTAGAGATGACTTTCGAGCTAGCAGCGGTATTGCGGTTTTTCAAACTCTCATTACTTTTTGTGATTTAAGCAGCGAAACAGTCGAAAATCGTTTGAGCGAATTCTATTCGAGTCAATTTGTGAGCGCATCTCTCCTTCCTTCAGAACTATTCTACCTTGAAATTGAATCACTCATTACTCAATTCATCTCAACAACAACTAACACATTTTTATTATCATTGTCATCAATTCGACAAATGACGCAGGGTAACGTTCTATTATCCGCAACTTTAACAAACTATGAATTCGTTCCGCTCAGCAACCACTATTTTCTGTCAAATCCCTACACATACGACAATTGCAGTTGTTCACTATCAGGTAGCTGTTTCGAGCCATATTCGATTTTCAACGGCTTAGATCGTACAGTCATACTATATACTGTACCTGGCATGAACGCTGCCTGTTATCCAGTTGAAGCAGTATTACAATCGGATCTCCGATGTTTCTACAATCAAACATGTATAATTCAAGTACAATCCTATTTTAATGAATCATCACCAATGAATGTTTCAGCTCTTGATCCATCTTTATTAGGTGAGTTTATGGTAGAGTCAACAATGGAAGATGTCGTCAAAAAGTTAATGGTAGTTAAATGGAATGAATCGATCTTGTATGAAAATTACTTTAATGAATGTGCAGTGAGAGAGTGTCGTTATGTACATGAAACAAAAAACGACGCGCTTTACATAATAACTACAATCATAGGATTAATTGGCGGTTTAATTACGATTTTAAAGCTAACAGTTCCACGATTCGTTACACTTACTATGTTTTTCATCAGAAAGTACCGGATGAGATATAATCGTAATCAAATAATGCCTCTTACAGAAAACTGACGTTCATTGAATTTCATGATGGAACCACAACATTGATGGTGATTCTATAGACACTAAAGAATATGAAGAAATATTTCACTACTTTGTCTGCGTAAAAATGTTTTGAAATTATTTTTTTGTTTGCTTTCCTGATATGATTCTGTGCACTGCTCTGCTAATTTTACTTCTAACGTATTTTCGATCAGAATAAAATATTTTGATGAAAACACTTGTTTATGAATTAGGCTAACATACAAATTCACGAGGTTATTTAAATTACTATTCTCTCGGCTATTTCTCAACGTCCTAATTAAAATCGATTAATAAATTATCATATAACAATGAAATTTCTCCGCGGTAAACATCAACAGAACTTGTCATTCTGCCATTATCTATGAAATCATATGTATCATAAAAAAGATGTGTTGTGTGTATTTTACTTTTAAAAATCACAAAACCTTGATGAATAACTATATGATGTAATCTGTGCATACTTTCATTGACTCCTTTCTCATATCTCCATTTAAAATATTGAAGAGAAAAAGATTTTCAAAGAATCTGGAAGGTTGACTGACTATCCGATAGTAGCTCTCTGTATCTTCCATAGTAATATGTTACATTTTCAGAATGACCACATATGATATCTCAATCTAACAAATGAGTATGTTGAGAATGAACAAATCGAAAGAATACTGATTATTTCTGTCTAGTTCCATCAGTCAATTATATTAATTAGAAATCAATATATATTTGATAGCTCTTTGTCGAAAAGCCAATGTCGAATCAATTGAAGCACATTATTTGATTTGAGGCATTTTTCATTGATAATCGGTTGATTCTTTCCATCATGGATACAAAATTCGTATAAAACTTCACCGTTTTCATATCTATCCTTTATGACATATGTATTAGGTACCTTCTCTAATTGAAACACAGAGATACAATTACCGAATATGCGTTTATGTAATTCATGTAGTGATTTTTTTTCAGTGAAAGCTCAGCCATCGTTTCATCAACTAAAAATACATCTCACATACAATTGACAGACAGAAGTCTTGATTTATATTCACAAACATACTAATCACCATATACACAAAACTTTCGCTTCTTTCATAAATCCTTCATATGATCTTTATTTGAAATTACTACTCACGAAGGAGGTACCCGCAGTATCCACTCGCTTTACGGCTCATATTTTGATCACGGGTAGACCTCAATGGGACTAGTAGGAAGCCAAAAGGATTTGTGCCGATGGTTCGCTAGTCAAAAGTTATGACTGCCTCGTCATTGATACGAAATATGTGATCAAGAGCTTGAAAATCTTTTGATTTTAATAATAACTTTTTTTTGAAGTAGAGTACTGCGACCCGCACCTACCCTATCCGTCGGGTAGGGTACCCGTACGGGTAGGGGCGGGTTCGGGTACGATTTTAAAAATTAGGGTCGGGTCGGGCGGGTTTACATTTTTACGGGTAGGGTTAGGGTACCACTTCTCGTACCCTTGCAGGTCTCTAAGATAGATACGTTTTATCTGTTTTTCTTTCATTCACCTAGCTGTTTATTTTTAGTTCTCGGTGAATGAGCGTGTGCATGTGTATTTCCGTACAGCTCAAACGTCGCAACTCTCACACACAATATTCAAGTTCGAAAAAAAAACATCATGAAGTCAAATACACATAAATAATAAAAACAAAATTCACCGGGTCCATTATCACGAACTCGAAGCTAAATTTCTATTCACTATGTTTCATTTTCGTCAAGTTTATCCACGTCAGGTATTGGTCTCGGCAACCACGATTTCTGTTCTTTAACGGCACGTTGAATAAAGTGATATCGTTTAACAACTGCTCGATAGTTTTTCATAAAATATGTCTCCAACCACTCAACAGCAACTTGCGAAGGAAATATTTCGTCCATTACCCCTCGAAATGATTTAATAAAGTGTTGCAATTGAAGCACAGCTGGTTTCAATTTTTCTAAACATTCTTCGCCGCGTTTCACATGAATATATCCAAATTTCACATGAAGATCAGTCACATATTTATCAACAAACGATTCAGCTCGTTGAACCTCAGTCCAAAGCGCCGGCAACGAAATCAATGCGTGATAAACATCATAGCCAGGGTATTTGCATCTGAAAACAATTGATTGGAATATTTTTTTCGAATTAAAAGAAGCACAAAACGTACTTTGGTGGTGGCTTAATCGCGTGTTCATGCGAAGTAAAATGAATTGTTTCTGAACATTGAAGTTCTTTCTGAACATAAGTTTGCAATTGTTTATTTGTATATATATCCATATGTGGAAGACTTTTAAACGGCTCTTTCCAAGCAGCCAATGAGTATGCTAATGATGGAATTGAATAAGGTAATAGTTCACACAATGATAGAAAATGATCATAACGTGACCAACCAGTGATGATAATTCCATCAAAATTTTTCCATTTTGTTGGGATATATCCATTCAGTTGCTTAATCCACGAGACTTGATCTAGATCAGAAACTAGATTTTTGATTGCTGTCATTTTTAACTTTTTCTTACTTTCATAGTGATGTCGAACATCGCTCGTAGTCGCGACTTCATGTGTAGAACCTTTAAATGCCGTTGCTCCCCACAAACTACGATACATTCCAAAAGTAGTCGCCTGTGGTCCGCTGACAAATCCTTCGACACTCATATCCTCACGATATGACCACAAAACAGGAGTCACTGTTTGAAATAATTTATATTTCATCGATGTTTCCATGTTCAAATTTTGCAAAATATCATGCCAGATGAATAACTGTAAATTTGGATTTTTCGCTCGAATGTAATTCACGATGATGTTGAGATGGTGTGCGAATAAATCATATTGAGATTGAATATTAGTTAAACGACGAAACTCTTCACAATCGGGATGAGTAAGGAAATAATAAACTTCATCAAAACCGATATGAAATAATCGCATATTCGGATGTAATGCAAGGTATTGGTCAATCATTGCGAAGAGAACTGGATAGGTTTTATTTGTACAGGGAGAGATTACTTGAGGATACCGAGAATTTTCACGTAAATCACTGAATTCTTCCAATTTTAACAAGAACTCCAAATGACCTTGAATAAAAATCGAATAGTTTGTCGTTAGTTACAAAGAGACAAATCTTTCGTCTATCTGATCAACTCAACTTACCATAAGTTTGTAAAAGTGGCATGACGTCCAGGTGATTCCTTTCAGCTAAATTATTAATTTTTTCGATATCTTCTTTTGTATAGGCTTGTTTATGTTTAGCCGAACTAACGATTCCATCGAATGGGAACATATCTTCATATTCCATACAGACTCCTGTTGCACCCCATTTGCGTATCAGTGGAAAAATTTGCTCGAAGTAGGAAATTTTCGGTGCAGCACCTTTAAGATCGAAATGAACAATAAGAGATATCGTTTTCGTTCCGATTTTCGTTGTTTCGAATTGAATAGATGAGTCATTCTGTTGAAGCAAACGACGTTTTTCCAAGGTGGAGATTTGCTCGATTGGTTCCAGATTCAATTGAACGATTTTCTAATGAAAAAAAAACAAGTCACATAGATATTTCATTGTCATTTCCCGCAGAAAGATTTACTTCAGGATCAGAAGAAGGATTATGTTGATGCTCGTGATGATGGACATGCTTTTTAATTAACTGCCTTTGGACAGGTCTAAACTGCTGATGATCTGTTTGATAGAGATACTTTGCACAAGTAAATACAATAAATACAGATGTAAGAAGAAGAATAGCAGCTAAAGATGTCCGTGATAAACAGGCTTTAAGTCGACGAATTAGAAACATTGAGGATGAGAGTGAAATTTACATTTATTCGCCAAATAATTAATCTAGAAAAAGAATTTCTTCCGAATTGTTCGGTTCTTCCTCTTCTGTAAACGATCGTCGAAAATTGCAGCTGCTGTTTTACATATGAGATTCTTCTCATAATGGTAGACGAAACCATTTTGATTTTTTTTCTCTCCTAATCGACTTTGTACGATAAATAATCTTCGATCAGCGATTCGAATGAAAAAGAGCCCAAGAAAAGAACTCCGACTTACCTAGTCGGATTATGAAGCAAAAAGAGGGAGGGAGGTATAGGAAAAAGAGCCACATGATACAAATGTTACACAGATCGGTTTACTTTTATTCTCTCTTCTCACCTTTACGTCACTCCTACTGTAGTTGTGTGTATTGTTCGCTGTTGAAGAGATTGAAATTTAATGAATTCTCTTTCTTTTTTACCGTTCGTTTTATATCTGAACACGAAGAGGAGAAGAAAAAGAAAAAGAAAGGAGAGAAATGCATTAGAAGCATCGATGATGATGGGAAAGGTTTGTATTACTTTTTTTTGAAAATGTTGATCGCTGAGCCACACATACACACTACCATTTTCTTCTCCTTTCTTTTTCAAAACTGTCGTCGAAGTATTTATTTTGCTTCTCGTTATGTTCGACTACTATTGACAAAGAAACAGAAAGAAATGTTTCAATCCAAAAATGCTTGTGTCAGCTGTCTTTAATGAATAATTTCCAACCGGAAAAACAAAATCGATTTGTTATTTATCAAGAGACGATGATTAGGTCATTGTTCGCAATGCTCCTAATGCTTCCAGTTCTACAATGTGAACTTGTCTTCTATTCATTTCTTCATTCTGCCATGTATGAATGTATTGAAATCGACTCATTTTCATATGCAAATAGCGAAGACAAATTTATAAAAAGCATATTTGCTGTTCAAATAGAATAATCGTTTTGTTTCAAATATCAACGATGAAATTTCGACACAAAGGAACAAGTCAGTGGATTGATATCTTCCTTTGAAGCATCATCGAAAGTTTGTCTAGTCAGCATAATTGAATTTTGTGATGTAATATACAATTTATTTGGGATTCTCTCAATCAATGAACAATATTCTACTGCTCATTAAGAAGTTAGCGTTTTTTTCTCTCAGTCACAACATGCAATCAATCGACAAGTTTCAATTAACAAATAGGAAAAGAAGCTTCGATAGGTTTTACCATTGAGAGAGAGAGAGAAGGAAATAGCTGGCGTCGAGTTTCTGTTCTATTCTATTCTCATGCGTTTGTAACGACAACTACAGTAGAACACGATAATAATGCCGTGGAATCTTGTCGAATGGGAAATAACCATGATGTTGACGAGGATCGCTCTACAAGTACTCGATCGATGGTGGCGCATTACTCATATTTTCTTGTTTTGCTCTTGAGACTGCTCTCACTTTGACCTTTTTTAGAATCAAAATGACGAATTTCTTATCTGTCATTATAAGCTTGTCCTCGTTGATTTTACTAATCACAGCAAATGATGCATCGAATACCATGGATATTCTCATGCCTGACGCTCGTGCTGAACATGTAAGTCGATCCGACTTTGACAATCAAAATGTAATTTGAGACAAATCTCTTAGGTCGATGATTATTTATGTACAGCATTTAAAATGAATGAAAACCAACCGACTTACATCAGTACGTATTGATTTTCATAGTTTCTTTGATGACTTCTTATTTTTGCATTTGCATTGTTTAGCTGCTTTTAATCCATCAGCAACATCGAAAGATGCTCATCATATTTTACTTTTCGGATGTTCGGAACCGGGTAGTGATGACGAAATTTGGAATTGTGGTGAAATGTCTCATGCAAATGATCATTCCAAACAAAAATATAGAAATGGACCAACATGTAAATCAGGCACAACTATTATCTATGCGTGGGCTTTAGATGCTGACAAGACCGAATTACCCGAAGGTATGAAATTATCTTTTCTTTCTGAGAAACGGACAGAGCAATATTTGTTTGTCTGTAGATGTTGCCTTCAAGGTTGGCGGATCGACATCTATCAAATATCTTGTTTTACAAGTCCATTATGCCAATTTGGAGAAATTCGAAGGTAGTTGATTGGAAAAGAAGTTACTCTATGAGATGGTGTTTCGTTTGTTTTAGCTGGTGAAACTGATCGTTCTGGTTTAGTTTTAACAACATCTCCTAAACCGTAAGTGGAACTAGTTTTCTCTATTCTCTTTTGCATCGGCTGTAATCATGTCGAGAAAATACACTATATGGGGTTTTTATTCTCTTGATTCATGCTTTTGTAAAGATCCTCCAAAACAGCAGGTGTTATGTTATTAGCAACTGACGGTTATATGGATCCTCATTCACTTGGTAATTGATTTGATTTCATAAGGGATTCTCTGCTTTGTTCGTTTGCGTGTCTTATATGTTCGTTATTATTTGTCTTTTGTTCGTTATCTGTATATATGTAGTACACCTAAACGCGCCGGTGTTTTTCTCCTTTTAACTGGTGGTTATATCAAAAAGCACACAGAAGGTAAATGCACATTCCCCTCTCTCTCTCCTGTTTTTGCACATGATTATTCGTAGTTCAAGCTTTATTGTTTTTATCTGACCCTATGACGAGGTATTTCGCTGTTTTTTTAGAAGTATTTGAAGTTGCCTGTGAAATTGAACAAGATATTGTTATGCATCCATTTGCTTTTCGCACTCATGCTCATAAACTTGGTAAGAAATGTTCATTTCGAGGAAGAGGATAATTAAGAATCTGTAAATGAAAGGTCTTGTGAATTCGGGATATCGCGTCCGTGGCGATGGTGATGATCAAGAATGGACGGAAATCGGTCGTCGTTCACCTCAATTACCCCAAATGTTCTATCCAACTGGAAGTGATGTTACTATCAAACAAGGTGATCGTGTTGCTGCTGTTTGTACAATGTTCAATTCGCAATCTCGCACAGTTGAAATTGGTTCAACTGGAAATGACGAAATGTGTAATTTCTATATGATGTATTGGGTTGATGGCGATCGTTTATTAGAAGATGATGTTTGCACAAGTGCTGGTCCTCCCTCGTATTATTTCGCACACGATCGAGTAAGATGGACTTTATGAAAGTTGATTCTTTTTTAACGAATCCTTTTTGTTCTACAGAGTTTAAATATTGATAAAATTCCTGCCGATGCATTTCGTATTCCACCACCCCCGAATGGCCCAGCGCCTGGTGAACCAGTTCAAGGTGGTCACCATATGATGATGCAACACAAGACAAAACCACACCGTCGATACTATCGTCAACAATATGTCTTTTAAGCTGAAAACCAAAGAAATGAATTCATTCTATTTATTTTCTAAATTCAACAAAAATTAAATAAACCAACAGTGCAATAAAAATAATAAGACGCGATGATTATCGAATAAATTGAGGAAAAACAGCAGCTGTTCGTTTGTTTCTCATCGACATACGATGTTATCTTTTTTTTGTTTCGATAGCGATAGCAAATAACACGTTTTGAATTTGTTGTAATTAGCGGAAGTGTGAAAGAGCGGATCGAGAAGCGAGAAAATGTCATCGTGCTGCGGAACTTTCTTCACAGATTTCAAAACTTTCTGTTCAATTATTTAACAAGAGATAATACGTCTTCGCGATGTCAATGATCATTATTTTGTCACCGACTACTTTTATGACACACTTTTTGATAGGCGAAATACACATTAGGTTCTATAGATTGTAGTCTAGAGCAATAAATGCTCTTGGGAAATTCGAAATTAACATAATTATAGAGCAAAACGGTAAATAATGGAGGAAAATATTAGCTTTCTTTCGCAAGTCAGCAACAAAGTGATCGGTAGTAGTAAAAGTGCAAATAGGAGACAGAAAGTGCATGTAATCGTCCGAAGATATAGGCGATTAGATAGAAGACTATGTGTGAAAGAGATGATTGTATCAAAACAACGAATAACTAAAAGAAATTCGATCGTTGATAATATTCCAGTTCTACTTTGCTTCGAGTAATAACTGTCGTAGACAACGGAGTGCTTTTCTTCAATATTCTTTCTCAATTGTTCGATTGATATCCAAGGATTTGATATTTTAATTTCGTTTTTGATCTCTTTGTTGTTTTTAATTGAAATTTAGTCGTATAAAACCAGCCTTTGATCCAATTGTCACTGAAGTTATACGCTAGAGAATGAAATCTTATCAAGTCTTAATTTGTGTGTGGTGTGTTGTAGCGTTTGGTGAAGCAGGATGGGTGCGTGTCTGGGAAGATAATTTCGATTGGAATGGCGGTGTAGATTTAAATAAATGGGAATTCGATGTCGGCGGTGGTGGCTGGGGTACGAAAGTCTCTTTGATTGCCATATCAGAACCGATGATTTTATTGTATGTTTGGCGCATTAGGTAATAACGAAGAACAATATTATACATCGAATCGACGAGAAAATGCTCGTTGTGAGCTTTTTCCAGGAAGTGCAAATGGTCGTTTGATTATTGAAGCACGAAAAGTAGGCCGTCGTTGTTTGTTCACTGCTTGAGTATGTAATTTTTTTGTTGTAGGAGAATTTTGACAACCGTCGATTTACTTCTGCTCGTATGAAGAGTAAAGCTAAATGGACATATGGTCGTTTACAAATCCGTGCTTTACTTCCAACTGGTCGTGGTCTATGGCCTGCTCTTTGGATGGTAAATCTTCGACTTAAAGTTTTCACTGAAACTATTTTCATGATGTTTTACAAAAACTAACTAGTTACCAGAACGACAGAATTATGGTGGTGCCTACTGGCCCGATAACGGTGAAATTGATTTGATGGAACAAGTTGGTTATGATCCTCAACGTATCCATTCGACTGTTCATACAAAAGCTAACAATCATATGCTTGGCAATCATCCAAGTAATTCGGTTATCGTTGGTGATGCTACGAATAACTTCAAAATCTACACTCTCGATTGGAATGTGGATAAAATTGAAATGTTCGTTGGTGATGAAGGTAATCCATTTCAAACAAGAATCTTTATCTGGAACAAGCATGGAGATTGGACAACATGGTAAACTTCTTGTGTAGCATTTCATTTTGATCTCGAATGTCTCGCTTAGGCCATTTGACAAACCGTTCTTTGTTTTACTTAACATTGCTGTCGGTGGTTCCTGGTAAGTACTTCGATAATTTGGATATTCTTAGAGAAAATATTGTTGCTCAGGGGTGGAGCTCAAGGGCTGGATGAAAATATTTTCCCTCGTCGAATGGAAATCGATTGGGTCTATTATTATCAATGGCGTTAAAAATTTATTCATGAGTTTTTTTCATAAATAAACTGTATGATGCAATCGAAACTGATTTTGGTCCTTAGAAACTTTGTCTCTTCACGTGTAAATCTCAATGGAGAAACACCATCAACACTCATCTGTCGTACAATGACAGATTAATCTCATAAAATGACTCATTCATTGGTAACACTTACATTAATACTTGTTGACTATTACTATTCACAATATTCTACGCTTCTTTTCTGTTCACTGCGTTCGCTAAACAAAGAACGTCGCTTTCTTTAGTTCTCATAGATCTTTTCGTGTCTTTTTTTTTAAATGAAGCATTCTTTGGAGCAAACATGCTTTCTAATTAGCCACTTCCGGAGAGTTTCTAATGCATCTCAAAGTCGACATTCATCGAAAAATCGATGTCACAAATCAGCGCATGCTGAACAACGTCATTTCACTTGATTATTCACTCGATCGATGAGGAAAAAACCCTGAAAAAAGAGTCACGTTCGAAAGATTAATAATCAAATTTCGGTAATTATGATGGTGTCTAATGATGAGAATAAATCGAGCAGTTTCGGGTGGAAATTATGATGAGTTGCGTATTGAGAAACAGGTTTGATGGTTCTTGAACTTCTCTTCTCGACAATGTTATCTCGAATGATAACAACAGGAAAATCTTCCATTATTTGTTATTCATTTTTCTTTTTTCCGCTAGTTGTCGTTTGTCAGTTATGTCAGTCAGTATGTTATTTCTTTAGTTAAGAACGTCGACGAAGTAGCGTTACTCAACAAAGATAAAGATCTTCATGAGTAAGCGTGAAGAGAAAACATTCAATCTACAAAAAGGGAACGACAATAACGAACACAATGCATTTCAATGGAGAATAAGAACAAACTGCAAGACACGACACCGACATTCATAACACACGTTCTAATACACTCATCTATCGTCATTGACATTTATCATTAACATTCATTGCAAATCTAGAGACTTTCTTCTATATATGGAACGAATTCACATGCGCGGTCGACGTTGGTCTGATGCTTTACTTGCCAAGTAAGTTAATTATCTTTGATTCGAAAGTTCATGCCAGAATATCATTCGAATTATTAATCACGTCTTGACATTGAAAGTAACTTCAATGTGCTTTCAGTCGATTGACTAACTGATTGTCTTAAAAGTTAAATACCAATGAGAAAGAGAAGGAAATGCTTGTCGAGCTTTTCTTGCTAATCAAATTAAATTTCGTAAAAAGATAGTTTTTCCTCTTGCTTCCATTAAGATAATTATCTCTGGCAGAAGAAAGTGCGTAGTTAAAAGTCCCAGAGGTCAAGTTCATATATATATATATATATTAACAGTTGATAGGAAGTGTTACCAATGAATGAGTCATTTTATGAGATTAATCTGTCATTGTACGACAGATGAGTGTTGAT